CCTAGTGCATCTGCTAGGGCTCCCCCCCCCTGCCCCCGCCCCCCGCCTCTCTCAATGGGAGCATGCATTGCATGATCTTGCAACCTAGTTTGTTGTGGACAAGTCATGACGGTAAAATCGTTACCGTACAACCACACCTTCCGTTCCTACCCTGTTGCTGGTGTTGTTTCCACCTATGCATATTGCGTCACAATAGAAACGCTAATGTTGTCCCAACATGGCCATTTCGCCCGTCACTTTCCCCGTTGCCCTTTGGTCGTGACCCCGTTCCGAGAGCCCCCCTTGTTTACCGCCCCCGCCCCTCCCCGCCCCGGCTGTGTGGACATTTCAGCGGCGTGGTGTCACAAGCTCCGGCTACGGCAACACGAAGACATCCACAACTGCGCACGGAGGCGGCGGCGGCGGCGCGTATATGACGCCATCGTCCCGCACCTCGGCGGGGCCCTCCGACATCCGGCTGAACGCCGGCGGGGGCGGCGATGGCGGCGGCGGCCGAGGCGCGGGGCGATCGACGGCGGCTACCGCAGCCGCCAACCTCCGCGCCGGCAACGGCAACAGCAGCAACGGCGCAGCAGCAGCAGCAGCAGTAGCAGCAGCCGCCGCCGCGGCGGCTTCCGCCGGGGTCAGGGCGGGCGTGCCCATTACGGCGGAGGCCGGGAACGAGGCCATCGGGCACCTCCTCGGACTGGGAGCGCGCCTGGGAACGTTCTTTCCCTCGGCAGTGGGCCCCGGGCCGGTTCCCGGTTTGGAGCAGGTGCTGCAGGAGGCCTCGGACGCCGTCTCGACGGTGGAGCAGTACCCTCCGACGCCGGGGTACCGGTACGCCGGTTTAGCAGTCCCCGGGGCCACCGCCGGCGGGGGCGGTGCTGCCGGCTTAGGGGGGGGGGTCGGAGCTGCTGCTGCCGGCGGGGGTGCCGCCGCTAGGTTCTTGGCGACGCCGGGGCTGACGCCTATCCCGACTGCGCGGACCCCCGGCGGCGGGTTCGGCGGCGAGGAAGACACGCCTTCCATGTTTTTGACGGGTTTATTGCACGGCGGGTCTCCGGCGGGGACGCCGCTTCCGCCGCCGCCGCCGCCGCCGCCGCCTGATGTTGGCGACGGAGGCGGTGGGATTTCGAGAAGAGAGACCCCCCGCGGCGGCGGTAACGGCGGCGAGGGCGACGACGAGGGCGACGGCCACGGGAGGGCGGCGGGGGTGCGCGCCACCAGGATGGCGGCGGCGGGATTGGCGCCCCCGACGACGGGGGGAGGGGGCGCCGGCGCCGGCGGCGGGAGCCGGGCGGCCAGAGCGGCGGGGGGAAGGAGGGTCGGGGGGAGGCTCTCCTTTACCTCGGCTGTTGGGACGGATGAGGGGAGTAGCGGAGAAGGGTGTGGTCTCGGGACGACGGCGGCGGGCAGGGCTGTAAGCAGAAGGTGGGTAGGTGTACGCACGTATTTTTGCGGCAACCGGTCGGTTGTATTCTCTCACCATACAAGGTGTTGCACCGTTTTTTTTTTTCCGCCAAAGCACACCAGGGGAGAGCTGGCGCGTCGGGGCCTGCCCCTGTGCCCGGCTAAATCTGTCATTTCGTCGGACACTGCTGTAGCACTGCTGTCGTGTGTACGAATGATAATGATCGGGTGCCTGAATTGTTTTTTTTGGTACGCTGTTCGCATGCTCATGCTATTCCTACATCCACCTTGAAAATTGAACTTGTATCCGGGTCTGGATATCTAAATCTAGCCAAACTACCGGCCGCCGATAAAACTCTTTCGAAAAAATCACATTCGACCGCAGACGGGCGTCTACCCCGGCCGCCGTCGCGACGACTCAGCAGCAGTCGACCCGGCAGCACGCGTCTTCGACGAGAAACTCGATGCGGCCGCCACCGCCTTCCGGGGTCTCCGCGGGCGGTAACGGCACCACCCCGGCCAGCGCCGCCCTCACCGGCCGAGGTTCTAGGTTGTCCACGGGGGCCACAGCAACAACGGCGACGGAAACAGCAGGGGCAGGGCCGACAAGAACGCGGAGTCCGCTTGCCGGCACGCCGATGGATGTTGACAGTCCCGGAGGCGGCGGCGACGGCGGTGCGCGAAGGAGATCGAGGGAACCGATCGATGAGCCTACCGTTGGTCCTGCTGCGGCCACCCGCCGCGGTGGGCGCGCGCCGTTCGTGGAGACCACCCCGGTGGTGCCGCAGTCCAACCGCAGACCGACGACGCGGGCGTCGTCGAAGAGGACAAGCGGGGCCAGGAGGCAAACGGCGGCGGCTCAGAAGGCGGGGTCGACGACGGGCGGCGGCGTCAGCGGCGGCGGTGCTGGAGATCCTTCAACACCAGCAGCCGCAGCCGTAGCAGCAGCAGCACAGCCACCACCGCCAGCGGAGGGAGAGCTGAGGCTGACGCGGGCCGAGTGGCAGTGCGTCCAGTACGAGGAGACGGTGTCGTACGCGGTGAGACACTCCGGCCAGCTCGCCCTGGCGGCGTCGGCGGGGGCGGCCGCCGATTCACCCTCCACCGCCGCCGACAGCGAGAAACCCGGCGAGAGGGAGACCATCATGGCCGCCTTGGCGGTGGTGAAGGCCGCACACGCGACGAGCGTGGCCTTGGCAGCGCGAGGCGAAGCGGAGCAGGGGGACACTACGACCGGGTGGGCGACGAAGCTCCAAGGTTCGTGCCGAGACGGGGTAGGGTCTCCAATACGTGGAGGCGGCGGTGGGGCGCGGAGAGAGGGCGTGGGAGGGTCCGGGGAAGGGGTGCGGGCGGTGGCGGCGCTGCTGCTGGTGTTATCGAAGGCGTATCAGCACCTGACGCAGTTCAGGTGTCCCGAGGTGAGAGAAAGGAAGAGTTTTTTGCAGGATACTGCCTCCCTCCGTCCTGAGGAGTGGTTCTTCGCCATTTTTTATGCTTTTGTTTTTTGTTCGCGTTGTTTGTTGTTGATGTTGATGTTGATGTTGATGTTGTTGCGCCTGGTGCGTTGTTGTTGATGATGTCGGCGGTTGTTGTTGTTATTGCCGTTTTCGCACGCTCTTTGCCAAAGCCTTTCACAAAACACGCCCATGTTCCCGTCTTTTCTCTCTTTGGTGACGCGCCGTATACCCCCCCTCCGCCCACCCCCGCGCTTCGGCGCTGTCAAAACATGTCCAAATCCGTTCTTTGCTCTCAGGCGCTGCAGGAGCTAGGACGATTGCCCCCGCAGCAGTACTGCACCGGCTGGGTGTTGCATCAGGTTGGGCGGGCGTATTTCGAGAGGGCGGACTACGGGAACGCCAAGGTACATACCGTGGTGCGCCTTCATATGGGGCTCCGTACAACGAAGTGTGTGATCGAGGATATCGATGTCCCCCTTCTCTCTGTTTCCCCATCACTCTTAAATACGTTCCTCTCCTTTCCTCGTTGTCGTGGTCGTTGTTGTTGTTGTTCCTCTTGTCGTTGTCGTTGTCGTCGCTGTCGCCGTTGTGACGGCGTTATGTTCGTTTTCTTTGGCTGGGTCAGTCGGCGCTTGAGAGCATGCAGCGCTACGATCCTCACCGCATGGAGGGGCTCGATCTGCTGTCGACCACCCTTTGGCACCTCAAGCGAGACGTAAGTGACAGAAATGTTGCCCGCGTTTTTTTCTCTTCTTCTTTTCCTTGCTCTCCTACGTATATGGTTGTTCCGTATGGGCACGATTCGCTTGTTATGTAGTCACAGTATCCACAGATACAAAAGTGTCCCAGAACAGGAAGCAATTGATCTACATGCGTGTAAATGTGATCTCTTCGCCTCGTGAGAGCACAGCAGTGTCATCAAGGGGAAAATGAAGGCAGGCACCAGGACCAACTCACAGCTGATAGCCAGCCGCTGTGTGACGTTTCCCAGGCTCGAGAGTCCGCACAGCGGACGTGTCTTCGACACGAACAGCCTATCGCGAACCTCAATGAAGCAATAAAAAGAAATTACAAATCTGTTATACAGCCTTGCGTGATGACCACTACCCTGTGTGTCTGCTAGTCTTTCTGGTGGTGCTGCTGTATGGTACCAAAAAGCGATGTCGCCCCAGTGGGTAACAAGGTCAGCAAGAAAACCTTCTTTTTTTTTTTTGTTCAGGTGGAGCTGTCGTACTTGGCGCAGAAAGTTAGCGAGTTCGATCGCCGCTCGCCTCAGACGTGGTGCGTGGTCGGGAACTGCTTTTCCCTGCAGAAGGAGCACGAGACGGCGCTCAGGTTTTTCCAGGTGGGTGGGTGTTGCCCATGCCTGATTGTCGCAGCGTTCCTTGTGTGCGCATTGTTTTTTGTATGTTGTGAGTTCACGGTTGTCGAATACTTCGAAGCATATACCAGATGTCGTGTGTTTCATCCATTTGTGTGTTGTTACAAGTTTACGGCTGTCGTTATTTACCCGTTCACTCGTTGCTGTGGGTTGGACGTGTGTTGTGTGCTTTATCCGTTCTTTTGGGAGTTTAGAGTTAGTTCACGGTGGATGATATCGTGTATTGGGCCGTGAAATCAACTAGTGTACAGTAGGAAGCTTTTCGCCTAGGTTGGCGTGTTTCTTTGCCTTGTCGTTGCCCGGTTCGTGCTACTTGTACCCGCTCTGGAGCCAAGTCTCATGCTGTCGGTCGGGAACAATCTGCCGTGTACCAACGCCTCTTCCTCCTCCTTCCTCGGACATGTAGTACTCCCCACGCGTGTATGCTGTTGTAGTGTTGGATGTGTCGATTCAATCAATCGATTCGATACGGTAACGACGGCGAAATGGCCATGTACATGTGTGTGCGTGTGTACCGTTAAAAACGGCGTTCGGGCTTTGTTTTTTCCCCTTCTTGTTGCCAAGCAGAGGGCTATCCAGCTGGACGCCGACATGACCTACGCGTACACCCTGTGTGGGCACGAGTACGTGGCCAACGAGGACTTCGACAAGGTGCGTTGTCGTTGCTGTGGTCACTGTCGTTGTCGTTGTCGTTGTTGTTGCTGTTGTTGTTGTTGTCGCTGTTGTTGCTATTGTTGTTGCTGTTGTCGTTTTCATTGTGTGGTTGTAGTTGTTGCCTTGACGTTGGAAACCGTTGCGGCCTACAGCAAGCAACTCCTCTTGAGGTATATAGCCAAGGAATCGCATTCCGTCATCGATAGCTACCCCAACACAGAGGACGGTAGATCCCCCTGTACAATACGGGTAACTAAGTGCTGCTGTCCCGGCACAGCGCTGGTGGAATCGACTGGCGTAGATGGAAGAATGAGGTGGCTGCTACAATATGGATAGTGCGACTCCCCGGCTCTACGAATGTGGAATACCTTGGATTTTCCCGCACTACCCAGGGACCTGGAGTGTAGTGAGAGAGGAAACAACAAGGACCAAGAGGGTAGATGGTGTTGACACCACATGGGCGAACGCAGTGTGCTCTCAGGGGTGTTGAACGTTGATGTCCACCAGGGCTCCTAGGCCCGGCAATGTCTATTGAGTCTGCTGTGGTTCTGTACATTCTATCCGAGACGAAAGCACCATCCTCGAATCACACAGAGGTTTAGCCTACATACAACTCTTGCCGGGATTTTTTCAACAGCAGTGCGAGCATTTTCCGCTCGTATACAGCCGAAATGTTCATCACTTGTCACTTTGTTCTTTCCATCATGTGTGGGACTCGACCCTTGGCCCGACCTCCTCTCATGCCATTGGTTAGCTCTTATTCCGGTGGGCCCCCTTTGTTTTGTTTTTCCCCTCGTCAGGCGGTGGCTTGCTTCCGGATGGCTATCCGCACCGACAGGCGGCACTACAACGCGTGGTATGGGCTCGGGTCGATCTACCACCGGCAGGAGAAGTACGACATGGCGGAGTACCACTTCCGAAGGGCCCTCAAGATCAACCCACAGTCCAGGTATGTGCCCATGGTAATGCAATGGCATACCAACCCTCAGTGCAGGTATTGTGTTATGTGTTTCCCGCTCTCTCCCTGTGTGTGTTTTGTGTGTGTATGTTTTTGGTCGTCATCGGCCGGGTTCACCGGTTTGACCAACAGCAAGAAGGTGGTCAAACATGAGCGGGACAAGGAAATATCGCAAACGCGCTTTCCGGTCTGCGCCCTCCCCAAACCAAACGACATGTTTTTTGTTGCGTGTGTTCCGCCGCTCATACCTCTCACTCTCGGTGCTCGCTTCCTCTCACCCCGTCTGCCGAACGTGGTATTTTCTGTTGTGACAGCGTGCTGCGAGTATACCTGGGCATGGTCCTGCACGCGAACAAGCGGTACCTCGAGGCGCTGGACATGCTCGAGCTCGCCTCCAAGTCGGAGCCGAGAAACCCGCAGGTGCGTTTCCCCCCGAGTGCGTTGGTGCGTAGAAGAAACACCCCCGCTTAGAGGAAGAAGCAGAAGCTAAAAAGACGAGAGGCGTCCCGGAAACCGAGTGTTTCCCCCTCGCAAGATGTGTGCTGGAGTGTCTTTTTCTCCGCCAGATGTATGCTTCATGTGCGCTGGAAAAGTAACTCAGAGGACACACGCCGTGCCGACATGCCTAGTCTCGTTGCTATTCTTCCGTCGGGGAGTACGTGGAGCCCGCGAATTTCCCCCCGAAACAAGAGGCCATACATGTATGTCCTTCGTGAACACGCACGCGGTGTTCGGTGGTGCAAGCTGCAGTACCCGTGACAAAAGGAAATCAATCATAAGCTGCTCACGACGAGATCGCCTAATGTACAGAAACTGACCTGACGGCGACGACAAGCCTCTACCGTGTGTTGCCTCGGTCCCGCCGCCTCGGCGTGTACACACTGCCCCGCCCGCCCGCTCGTCCGCCCGCCTCCTTTGTTGTGATGTACACCAGGCGTCCTTCCAACGAGCGAACGTGCTCATGTCGATGGAGCGGTACGCGGAGGCCCTCCGAGAGCTTGAGGTGGTGAGGGACAACGTGCCAAAGGAGAGTGCTGTCTACTTCCTCATGGGCAAGGTGTGGTGTACAGAAGTGGCAGTATATTGCCGCTGTTTATCGTTACTGGCCGGTATTCGGCTGCCAGAATACTTGTTTTCCATAATGGAGAAAGCCCGCTGTAGCTCTGCTAATCTTGTGTCGCCTATCGTTTTATATTCGTCGTCCGCGCTTTCATGCCTCCCTCACTCTTGATCCCCCCCCCC